ACCATACTAATGTACATATTGTACTAATTCAGTATACATAAATACGATTACAATTAGTCACTCATACGTCATAGGAAAACCTTACATTTACCAACCGATAAGAAATATTTTACTTCCACATATACTGATATATATATGTTTAGTATAAATATATAATATACTGATATACTGATATGTTTAATATAAATATATAACAAATACATACATATACATATCTTATAAATACGTATCATTTAATATATATCAGATATACAGAATTATCACTATTTATATATTTTGAGCCTTGGCAACGCTGATTGTTGTCAGGTGTCATCTGATGTTTCCATACGAAAGCTTGACATTGTTAAACATAATCCACTTTAGACTTGTAAATAAGATTGCAACAGGTGAGGAATCATAGATGTATCCGTATAAGTCGAAACGTAAATAGCAATCGACTGTACAAAAGGTGTTTGCGGTCGAAGCCGTTCGAAACAAATGGTCGCTCATCCACCGTACTGATTTCAATGTTGATTGAACGGCGGAAAAAGCCGTTGTTGGATTTAAAAAGCATATTTTAGAGGTGTCTTGGAATGAAAATTCTATTTTAACAAATAGATTCAACGCATGCAAAAGTGTATTAATCATAAAAAAGAATTCATCGAGAAACAATAAAGCAATTTTCAAAAAGTTAGTATATAAATAGCGAGCCTCATATACTGATTTATATAATTTAGGAAACATAGAATATAGATTAAGAATCTGGTGCAATATAAATCCTTTTTTCACTGATTTTTGTATCTACACTACGTTCTCATGATCATAATAATACATATATAATGTAATGGACAGTAGCGAGGCATCAGCTTTTTGGCAAGATGTTCACAATTTGATCAAAACAGAATTCCAACTATAACGTATGCCCTCTACTTCTAAGTTTCGTCCTTTCCACAAGCAAATAGCGTACAAGACCAACAAAAGAATTTATTTAAATGTTCGCAGCCTGTGATCGACTGGTTTGTATTTTCCATAAAACTGTAGCTGTAGGAAAACGGCGACTTACCACAGATTTCGACATTTTTACATCAGGCACCAAATTCTTCATATCTGGAGTTGGTCTATTCATTTTATGAATTAAAATCTTTTCTTCAGAACATCGTTTAAAAAAAGATATTTGAATTAAATCTTTAATTACCCATTTATTCATTTCTAAATATTATTTTTCACTTCAAATTTCTTTAATTTTTTTCTTTATTTTTACCATTTGCTAGTATAAAATTGCAATAATGACTTTGTTTTTGATTTATTTTCAACCTCTACATAAGAGTAAGAAACTCTCATGCATTCATTTACTCTTTTACTTTGTATTTACTATGCCCGGTTCAGTTTTTTACTGAACCATTTGCCCATATAAAACAGCAACCGTGACTTTGATTGTATTTGCACGCTTTGTATGAACTTGGGGTTCAATTTGGTCGACTGAACCTCTCGTCAAATGTAAAGCGATTATCGCTTAGTCATTTCTTTTCTCTTTTGTATTTACTTTGCATAATATTGGAGGTTCACTTTTTTTTATTGAACCGCTTGCACGCATTAATTTAAGAGTTGTGATTATTTTACATATATATTTTGTGGGGCTTGTTTTCTCTTTTATTTTTATATTTGTTTGTATGTTTTGTGTTGTGTACTCAATATTGAACATAGTCCCAATGTGAATGTCATTTCATTTGCATGTTATATAAGCAGCGCGGTTCAGTTTTTATTCTAAACCTTAGTATATTTTAAGAGGAATGTGTTACATTTTATTTTAAGAGGAATGTGTTTTCTCTTTTATTAATTACAGGTAATGTTGGGTGTAACTAACATATGTGTGACTTTGTTTGTATTGTACGTTTTGTGTTTATGTTAATCTGTTTGGAAAAGTTATTATAAAAAATGTTAAGTAGAAATATAGCGAGATTATTTACCTAATAAAAAAAAATCTAAAAAGGAAGCTTTGTTAAGGTGTTCAGTGAACACTCTGAACCATTCGACGCCTCGCCTGTGGTAATGAATGATAACATTTGTAATATAATATATAGTAATACTAATGAGAGGCACTATACATTTATTTACATTTTCATTTCGTTAGCTATTAAATTAGAAGAAGTTTTTGGTGTAAATGGTTGTTTGATTATTTCGATGGATTAAAAATTATGTATTTTATCATCTTGGTGCTTTAGTTTCAAAAGTTTTTTCATCGGTTGCATTTTATAAATTGTACCTAATTTCCAAATTTGAATTGCATACATTGAAAAATAATAAAGTTTTTCTAAAAAGCAATATGATTCCATAGCGTAGCCGTATGCATGGATGGAAGGGCAAATGGACAGGACGAAATAAACTCAGCTAATCGAGCTGATCAAGAATATATGTACTTTATAAGGTCTAGAAGGTTTCCATGAATATGTTACAAAAATCTTTTCAAAACTTATACCTACACACTTGCTATACTTCCTTGTGAAAAGAGTATAAAACTATAAAAAAAATATTTCAGGTACACAAGCCAAGAGTTATTTATTTAAAAAATTCTTTAAAACTTTAAAAGAATTGTCCAATATAAATCATAAATGCAAAAGATTTCCTTTGGTAAAATTAAAAAAAATACAGCACGAAATTAAAAATAACTTCCAAATAAAAAGCAAACTTCGTGCCCAATTCCCCAAGCAACTGCAAAATTCGTCTGCAAACCTGCAATGTTTCTTGAGTTTTGCTTACATTTTAAAGTTGTTGGTCAATGCGGAGAATTGCCAGGAAAAAGTACATCCACACAAGAAATGTGGGGCTTTTAGGAAAGAATTTAAAAGTCAGGAAAAACGAAGAAATCTCGACATCAAAAATCTTTTTCCTGCTTCAACTTTTCTTTGCTGATTCCGATATGCTATTGGGAATTCTGCATTTTAAATGTACTTTCCACAAACACAACTAGTCGTACGTACATTAGGAGGTATCCATAGATATATTCTGATGTGTATAAATACATTCGAAAGTACTTTTTTGCACTTGATTTTGGATTTTCCACTTTTTTCCACTTGAGTGCAAAGCGTATACTTTGAGAATTTCTGATTTGAAAAGCGAATTTGTATGTGAATTGAATTAATTTGAGTGCACGTGTGGTTTCCGGCTTGTACTTCCCGACTTCTTCAGCCACTCGCAGCTTTTACTGCTTTCCTTAATAAAGTTGATGTATTTTAAAATAGCAATACAAAATTAAATTAAAACACAATAAACTCGCTTACTCGTACAAACATAAAATATCTTTTTATTGGTGCTTTATTACATATCTACTTGTTTTTGCCATTTTTTTAAGTTTATTTAGTTATTTATTTTTTTCTTTATATGAATTTGTGTTCATATAAATTCGTACTGCGGTTTTGCCTGCGGTTCTTTTGTAATTTATACGCGATTTTACTAACGAGTTTTGTTTCGGTTTTCTAATTAAATTACTATTATAAACAAGTATCTGTATAATTCACTAGGTTTTCATGGGGAAAATATTGTATTTTTTACGATTTTAATTTAATTATGGTTTTTCAACTCCACAAATTAAAGTCCTCTACATTTTTTACTACTACACACCACATTTGTTGAATCAAAGTAATTTTTTTATTTAATAAATATTTTACAATTGTACAGAAAAACAGAAGATTATATTCTGTTCAACAAATGTTCTGCAAACCACAAGTTGATACGATTAAAGACTAAGTATTAACGCATTAATTAAGACAAGGCATTAGTTGTAAAATGCCAGTCGGTACCTGAGAAAGATATTCATAAATAAATAATCATAAAAATAGTATAAATATACACACGAAATATAACAAGGAGCCATGATAAGCATGAATACCCTACACTCATATATCTTATATATCAAACCAACTTATCCTAAATACAAGAGTTTTCAATCTTTACAATGAAGATGAGTACCTAAGAGAGTAAGAAACCAATGAAATCAGTGCGATCCAAAAAAAAACCGACTTAATAACGGAACAAAATATTGAACGGCTTTCCCAATCTAGACTTAAACTAATTGATGACATGTTTTCAAGAAATGAATTATTTGTTTAAAACTAGAAAAATAGAAAAAACTTTAGCAGAAAAAAGAAGAATTGAGGTTAATCACTTTCCGTACAGATATTTATTAACAATCCGCTATTCCCTGAAATTAAATAAGTAGGTGGAATCTTAATAGCAAATTTCTCTTAACATAAGATATAAAGCGTTTAACATGACAAGCACTTAACCCTTTTTAAAGCAACCAAAAAGTTTCTGCAAAATCGTGAGAATTCCCCAAGAAATCAGTTTGTAAATCTATACTGCAATATATCTATACCGACAATATCGTTAGCAACTGTCGCTTGGGAGAACAGGATTTAACAGAAAAAAGAACAATCCTATACAGCTCGATGAGCAATTCTGGGTGTTGTGATGAACCTTCTTTTCCTTATGTTTTTCGATATTTATAGAACACATAGTGTTCGAAAAATGCTCCTCTCGAAAACTAATGTTTTACATCGCTGTTGATTATACTCCGCGCTGTTCATACTGTATAGTAGTACAATCATGATAAAGCATCATATCCCTTTGTTGAGAATGAACTCTATTTTTCAGATTACCATTAAGCACGATGTATACCTATATGGTCTCTCTTCATTGAGTCTTTAAGTTGATATTAGTTTTAGTGTTATGTAGAAAAAAAGGCTTATTAAAGAAAAACAGACAACTTAGTACTATTAGTACTTGATTGCTTTGAGTTTAATTATTATAACATACGATCCCAATGAAGAAGTTGAAACGTTGGCAACTTTATATATAAATTAATACACATGTAGAACTAAAAAACAGTTTTTATTAAAAAGTTCACAAGAGCCTTTGTATACACGAATTAATTAATATACATATCTTTAAATATTGCTTAAACATTTATTTATATATTTATTCATGTTATTATACATACTAATTTTATATATATTTCCTTACAGATTGGCGCGCTTAAAGACTATTATTTATTTCATCATCGTCATGTCTCAAAAAGATCCCTACGCACAAGTGATGAGCACCACAGCGCCTTAAATTCCGAACCAGAGGTAAAGACATTTTTAAATTGTGACAATATAAGTAAAATGGCTAATTCTTCTACTGATATAATTGTATATTTTACTTTTATCATAGTTTTATTTTTATTTTAAACTAAGAGATTATATCAGTGACTCACATAGTCATTTGCCGGAGGTTAAGTTCTGTTTGTAATGCTTTTATATAATTATATATATCTTTATAACTGTATAAGTTTAAATAATAAAAAGTATTAGAGAAATAACAGAATATGATATGGTTTCAAATTTTGTTCTATCGAATGTTGATCGTTATTCAACACCTCTATGAAAAAGTTACCGTACATCAATGCTTTTCCGACCTATTTCCAATATCTCACATTCTCCTACTACAAACTATTTTCTTCATTTATTATATCAACTCGTCAAGACTGGAAATACCTAATTTTTCAAAAATATTTATATTGACACTTCTCAAGTACCATAATCTTTCTATAATTTGATGCAGGCCTTTTGTTCTTTGAATATAAGAAGTTTTATATTTTCTTCTATAAGGCGCATGTAAAGCTCCTAGGTTTATCAATAAAAAAAAACTCATAAACTCCTAAGGTTATGTTTTATGAACTCACGGTAATTGCGTTATATTATTCTTCGTAGTTATATCGACAGAATTCATTACCTGTACTGGTACATATTTTTAATTACTATCAATTATGTATATGAGGTAACTATGTATTATTTAAATTGATCAGAATATTTTTTATATATCTACACAAAAATGGATATAGCTCTAAAAAAGGAATATATCCACAATAGAGAGAGTTTGTATGTATTTTAAACTTTGTAGAGAAGTGACACATATTAATAATTTATATATTACTATTTATTTGTAGTCATAAGAATATATAGGTATAAAAATTATATATATACTAAAAATTTTAATCTCAGTTTGTAATAATAAAACACTACCTAAATGTTAATTGTACTTTATACTAAAAATTCATTTATTTAAATACTGACTTCTATATTTTTATTCACAGGTGCGATGGATGCAACAACAACATGAGAAAACACGTCATAAACGTGATGGTTCCTATACAGCATTACCCGGTTACAGTCCGTACGACGTTATACGTCCATCCGCAAATTTCGGCAGCGGTCCTAATTCACGACTGTCATTTGCAACTGGACTACATCGTCCAGCGCCCCGCGCACCACGTATACAGTACCGTGATGCAAGCTCACACAATATTTTCCCAGATCCTTTGTTCAAGGAACAGTGGTACTTGGTGAGTAAAGTATGTAAGCACTTAAATTCTGTTTTTCTACCCCATATACTCGTATTATGGTTGGGTAGTTGTTGTTATTGTGTTAGAACGCTTGGTATTTGTTAACCTAATTTGTAACCTGATTCCATTGGAGTAGGCAAGTATAAAAATGGTAACAGTGAAATGCATGGAAAAAATACAAATATGGTTAAATGGTTAAAGTTTTAAATAAAATGGAAAAAATATTTAGCTTTGAATATATATAAGTATGTGTGTACATATGAATTTAAGTGAAGCGTATATATGCAGACAAGTGAGTATTTATTTACTACTATAGTTGGGTGTATATGAGTATATGTATCTGCATGTCTGAAAGGTTCCGGTGCAGTACCAACTGCACTGTGTATTTAAACTGTTAAGCACTGTGTATTTAAATGGTTTAAAAGTATTTAGGATAATAGCAAAAAAAATGTTGCAGAGTAAAACGTGTAACTACCATAAATAGTTTATTTAACAGAGGAATCCTACTAACTCAACATAAAAAATTAACTTTAAAAAATGGAAGTTGTGTTTAGCTATATGTAGTTTAAGTTTATAAAAAAATAAATAAAATTAGTTTAAGTAGTTTATTAAATGAAATTAATTTAAAGAAAACACTAATAGGTTAAGAGCTTGAATCGCTCTAGATTTATAATAACGTTTATGGCAAAGATTGAGTTAAGCTTCTACATATTTACCTATGTAATGCATATAATCTATATAAATACAATCACATTATCTTTATTTCATATGGTATTTATTCAAATATTTTGAATTAAGTTTAAGAAATTCTAAGCCAAGTATTATTTATATATACATATTGTAATAAATAATTAGTCTAAGTTTAATTTGTATGTCTTAAATTTACAAATATTATTCTATCTACCTTTCTCTTGATTTTAATTGATCCTTAAAAGGAGACGAATTTCAATTTTCAAACCTAAATAAAATTATTGAATAATAAATAAAATATTATTTTATATTGATTAATATGACAGTCACCAAAATCACTTTAACCTGAATATCAATTATCACGTTATTTTGATATATATCATTGAACGATCATATGGGTATGTTGTCATATATGTGACTTCAGTAAAAAAATCGTTTATAATAACTACTTTATTTAATTTATAATAATTAAGTTTTGCAAATACAGGGGTGTCCACTTTGTAGCTCTATAAATATACGCAAAGTACGGACAATGACATTCTTTTTGATTTTTGACATATTTGTTAAGCAAAAATTAATTTTATCAGTAAACAAAACTCGAAAATACGGTAAATCAGCACCCATTTCATAGTAAGCTTACAATATGTTCAGCGATGATGTTCAGTGGTTGTTAAACGTTTCATATTTCTAAACGGAAAACCTTGTGCTAAATATGTAATGGCTGGGATGATAATTTAAAGCTGTCAATTCAAGATCATGAAGTGCATAACCCGTTTATATGTCTACAGTGGTGTGCTCTGATGTATTATACCTCGCACGGTGGAACTCTTTATATACAATTTGCGTTATATTTTTATATATAATAGCACAGACAACTAATATGAGTGTTTTATACAAATAGCGAAAGCGACAACGATTTACAATCATTTAATAGCTTCTTCTTAGTTAAAGTTTATCTTTATCTTGCTAATCTTTTATAAAAAACTGTGGATATTGCCAGTGAACATTTTTAGTCTGGATAAGTTTATGAAGTTTATGACAAATTTAAATTTTATTCCAAATTTATTTTACCTCCTTCAAAATGTGCTCCTTCTGAAGCGATACACATATGCCAACGCTTAACCCAAACTTCTATACACTTTTCGTAGGCCCGTGAAGGTATGGCTTTTAGTTCCTTCAGCGAATTCTCTTTTACCGATTCTATCGACTCAAAACGCTTACCATGAAGGGGCAGTTTGAGTTTCGGGAACAGGAAAAAGTCACACGGATCCAGATCTGGCGAATATGGTGCCTGATCGATGACTGTGGTGCCGCGTTTGGTGAAAAAATCGTGTACAACAAGAATTTTCCATAATAAAAATCGCTAAATGCACTTGAGGTAATCTCACATTAACAGCTTCTGTAAACAAACTAATTGACAGATGGCGCTCAAATTTGTACCATATGTCAAGAAAGGGTGTACCAACATAATAAAAATTTTTTAAAAATGTCCTTTACTTAAGGAGTAGTTAACAAATAACAAAAACAAAATTTTTGAGCAGAAGGTATAATATAAGGTTTTTACAAGTAGTACACCTTGTATACTATTATAAATATATTATTATTTCTACATATGATGGCATCGTTTCAAATATAACTAATTTCTAATTTCGATATAAGTTTAATTAATTATTTTCTCTATTGAGAAACTTATAAACGTATTTCTTCTATATTATATATTTTATCAATTAATCAAACAAATTTCTTTTATTTTTTTTTCATAAAATCATATGAAGAATTCAGATATTGTTTTTATTTATTCAAGTATAATTTTTGAACAAAATAAATGAACTCAATTTCGACTATGACTCCCTGGAATCGTTTACAAATGCAAAAAGTTTCCTCTGGGACAAATGCTTTTAACTGCCACAAAATATTTCAGTTAACTTTGATAATTAAAATAAATTCCGAAAATGTTTTGGAACTATTAGTTTTATTGCTGTGCACACACCGAAAATAAATAAAATGAAATAAAAATAAAAATAAAAATAAAACTAAAAATAAAAGTAAAACTAGAGCTAAAAATGAAGCTAAAAACTAAAAACTCTGCCAAGAGAATATGAATCTTGAAGAAAATTGCAATTTCGGAATGTGAAATGAACTTTGGTACTACATTTGCTTTATGGATACGAGCAAAATTATTTTAAATAACAATTGTAATAGTTGCAATTTGTTGTTGTTGTTGCAGTAGTAATATATGTTGGTTGAGTGTCATTTTTGTTAGGTTTCAGTTGGTTTGCTTGATTTTTCATAGTAAAGTTATAATAAAATTTTTATTTACTTTTGTGTTATTTGTTATAGTAAATAGTTGTGCTTTCCCTGACGTTCTACACATGATTTTTAAACCACAAATACATATAGCAGACTGCCTTAAGGTTTCACTTATAACCATAAATAAGCACCAAACCAACACACCAACACACACACCACCACGGAAATGAGAATGCAGCCGTGCAATAAAAGATCTGTCTTAGAATAACGTGTATATGGAATCATATGCGCTCGTCCTGTGACTATGCCCATGCATACGCAAGGATATGAAGCTCAGCTTTCTTAGTATAAGTAAAATAAATTCCGTTCGTTTTCTTACAAAGCGCACAACTACAAATTTTGCTTCTGTTTATATTTGTTTGCGTATCCATGCATGCATGCCTGCATCCTTGTCGGCATTTTCGCTGGATTTGCATGTCTTATTGGAATATTTATGATGCTTACATTAAATTTCTGCAACATGCAATTTCAATCTTTATTACGAAAACCACATAGCATAAAAAATTAATTTTATTTGGCTGAGTTGCATACACTAATAGTTGTCAGTGCATAACTGATATGTGGGTGTTGCGCAGCATCATCCCAAATTGCTCACAAACACCCACTCACCACTCATTTGCATTTACTGTATCCGAAAGCAAATATAAAGTTCACTTCCAGATCGCAACTTGTATTACATATCAGCAAATCTTGATTTCTTAATTATTTTAAAACAGAAAATATTTGTGCAATTTTGTAGTTATTCACTTGCAGCTATTTGAATCCTTCAAGAAACAAATGCATTGTTCATTATTATTAACAAATTCTTGTAATTCCATACATAATTTATGCAGCTTCCGTATAAATTTTGAGTTTTGCCTTCAGTTCGTAATTAAACCATTCGAGAAAACTTAGGAATAAATTTTTATTAAGTCGATTTTAATCCAATTTAAAACTAATATCAGAAGTCACTCATATCAGCTCAGCTTACCTTAAATAAAGAAATATTTTACTTGAAAACAGAGGCATTGTTAAGATTTTAACTAAAACCTTTAAAATAATATGTTAATATCAATCATGGAAGTAAATAATGAAAAAATTATTCATCTAAGGATTAGAATGGTATGTTTTAAAAAACTTACAATTCCTTATAAAAAAAATATATGTGTATAATAGATAATAGACAATAAATAATAGATATCAGATATCAGATAATAGATAATGGATAATAAATAATAGATAATAGACAATAGATAATAGATAATAGATAATAGATAATAGATAATAGATAATAGATAATAGATAATAGATAATAGATAATAGATAATAGATAATAGATAATAGATAATAGATAATAGATAATAGATAATAGATAATAGATAATAGATAATAGATAATAGATAATAGATAATAAATAATAGATAATAGATAATAGATAATAGATAATAGATAATAGATAATAGATAATAGATAATAGATAATAGATAATAGATAATAGATAATAGATAATAGATAATTAATAGATAATAGATAATAGATAATGGATATAAGATATTAGATATGAAATGTATATTATATTTCGGAAATTGTACATCATAAAACACAAAATAAGTTTCAGGCGTGTAAGCTGAAAGACTCTTTACGACTGAAAGAGTTTTGGTTTTTTATACTTTTTTCTTTTTTTTGTATCTAAACCCTATAATCACTTCTTTTAAAAATCAATTGCTTTAAACAATGACAGAAAAAGTTTTCACTTTCAGAAACTCTCATTGGTAGTTGCTGCTGTTGTTGTTGTTGTTGAGGTAACTATTTCACTACTTAAGTGAATACTTACGAAAGAGGTTCTCTACATATATGACCATTTTATTAGAAAACGCTATTGCTTTGTTTCCAAAAAAACGATCCTCTATAAGAATGCAGCGATTACATATATTTGTTTTTGGGGTTTGATATATCGCATATAGTATATCTTACTGATCTGTAATAAGTAAATTTACCTATAACTACAATTATTTAAAGAAGCGTTTAACTTTCGTTGAACTTAACTCTACTTGATAGCCATATGATAGATTTAAGAGGAGATACCTCTTCAGTCTTTTAATTTCAACAATTTATTGCAAGTAGGCTAACATGATTAGTCAGTCCTTGATTATATATTGTGAAGTATATTCTTGGTTGCTGTATCATAATAAAAAAATTATCAATAAGTAAGCACTGTAAGTAACATATAAAAGGTAAATAGCTCTGTATAATTTCAACGTTTAAATAATTAGCTACGTCCCTTTACAATATTCGATATATCAACATAGGTTTTAGTATGGCTTAACATTACTATTTAAAATACGTATAATACCAGTTCTATTCTTATTAATAAAAATATATGTAACTTTATTAGCTGAGACTAATTTCAAAATATTTTATTACTAAAATTTTCAATTTTTCAATTTTTCAATATTTCAATTTTTTTTTTTTGTACATTAATCTTGAAATTAGAGCTTGAAAAGTTCACTAGTTTCTCTGTTGTCCTAATGAAATGAGCTAAGGAAATCAATTTTCTATCTATGCAGTAGTAACTTCACTTTGCTACTTTCTATTATTTTCCTATGGATAATAATTCCCCACCTTAGTGGTATGTTTTGATGATATTTTGCTGACATGTGATAGGTGAATTTAAACACCTTTCCCCTTTTCTGTCATAAAGAACAACAAAAAGATAGGCAGAACATATACTTATGTTGAATTCATAAATTATTAGCTTATTTTTCAAATTATAATTCTATTGTTTGTTTATATATGTTAGGTAATCTATATATTTAAGTGGTTAAACGCGTTTTTATCCGTTTTGTATGTTATCGGAGCCATATAATTTTAATATATCACCTCAAATATAAAAATTTACCTGTCTCTCTTATTATTATTCTACTTGTCAATTTATCTGACAATTAATCTGTGCAAAAAAGTAATTTTTAATCTGATACGATAAGATAGAGATGGGTTCATCTCTACAGTTAAGGTTATAATAAATGTTGATTAAGGTTATAATGGAAATTCATTAACTGTATTATGCAGCACTCATTAAAGATAATTGCCAAAATGGATCATTTTTATATCATTTATCATAATTTGGCTGATCAGTATACCATACATGACAATATACTGTTATGATAAGTCTCTGATAAATTTTTGTATTAAATGAGTTCTAAATAGTTTTATAGCAATTTGTATAAACTAATAACTGATATAAACTGATATTTTACGATATTACAATGTTTTTTAACTATACCGTTAGGGTCATATGATTGCCGATCATTTTCACCATCTAAGGAATTAGAATCAGTAAACAAATCTGACTATTGTGGATAAAGTTCATTATCTAATGATGATATATGGTAGTTCAGGAAGTGAAAATACCAAATGAACACTGTAATGATAGACATGATATACTGATATACAATATTGCAAGAATACTTGCATATGAAAAAGTTTTTAAAAATTGTATGACTCTCTAACTCACAGTGATAGATAAACTTAAATGTCTTATCAAAAATAGTGTCTTCATTGATTTACATATAACTGCAGATCATACATAAATAATCGATTACATACTATATTATTAAAGAATTTGACCTAGTAGGTATAGTCATCGCCAGACACATAGTCAGAAATAGGTTTGATGGATTGAAGCCTTTAAAAGATTATTTAAATAGATGAATTTTTTTTTACATTACTGAATTTACCTGAAAGTAAATAAAAATTATTTATATTAGCAGAAGAAGTAAAAAAACTTTGCAGTAACTTTAATTTATATAAATTTTAATTTCAAGTAAGGATTTCAGTTTTCAAATGCAATTTTACTTTTAGATTTTACTTTTAACCGTCAAAAGTAGTTCCTTTATTAAATGTACTATACTTATATGTGGTGGTAAGAAGCTCGGTAACTTGTTGGTGCAATGGGTTAGTTCATACAGTGAACATATCTAATTATATCGATCTATGAAATGAAATCATTTCAACTTACTTTTAACTACTTATCTATTTAACCACATTCATTATACCACATTTTCCAAATGAATGTACTAAAATACTGCTATGAATATGAAAAAAAATAAAATGCAGCTACTATTACAAATTTAGAATAAACATAACGTGTTTGGTAATACATAAAAAAGGTGGCAGCACTAAAAAAAGAGCAAAAGCACAAATCAAATATAATAAAAGACTTTAATAATATGGCAACTTCACAAACTGCTACTTAGAATGAATTTTCTTATAATCGCGTAACGTGATTACTACATTACTTGGTAACTTACTCGGTTACTCGATTACTTGGTTACCAAGCTCCATACTCATAATAGTGAACATCCCTTTTGGATTGTAAGCAATTTCCTTTTGGTTTTTTTATAAACTATTCATAAAAGTAATTATTTGTAATGTATACGTATTATATATTATTATATTATAAATTGTTATCCGTTGAATTTTTTAATAACCTTTTAAATTTATCAGCTATTAGTTAATTTTATTGAAAGTCTCTTAATAAATAAGTAAAAAGTTAATGGAAACCTGTTAAATATTAATAATTAATGTTTTTATATACTCGTATATAAGTATAACATTAATGTATATAAGAGAAAAACATTTTAACCAGTAGAGAAGTTTTTTTAATTTTTCTGTTATTATAATTTTTATGTCATATACTCATAGATGTTTATTTGTGACCTTTTTTTATTTATTTAAATTTAATTTTAAACTTAACTAAGAACAAGGAAGTGGACTATTAGGTCCTTCTCCCTTTTTTAATTTAATTTGACTCAAGTCTTTATGTGAATTTATTAATATTTATTTAATATAAGCGCTTTTATGAAATACAATATGAATACTTTTATTAAAATCCATTAACAAAGTGCTTTCCTATTAATTAACTAAATTAAAATTTATTGCTAACATAAATTAGAAGGCAACTGAATACATAAGGCAGCGATTAATTTGGTTTTATTTGAAAAATTCATATTAATTATGATTTACATGGATGAACTAAACTAACCATTAAAGGATAATTTTTCTATATAATCGAAATATAAATTGCAAAAATTATTTATTGATTGTATTTACACAACAAAAGTTCATATATTTAAAAGCAACTAACAATTAATTTATATGATTTTTATTTTCTCTTTTCCATGCCACAATCTCAATCTCAATCCATGCAATCCATCCCATACACGATATTTACAACATTTTACGCACGATTTCTTCAATTTGTAATTGTAACATTTATTTCGCAACTGAAAATCTATGAAATAAATTAACATTGTTACAAAAACAACAATAACATCCTCAACAACAACAACAACAATAACAAAATGAATGGTTATTACAGAATGGCGGCGCCAAAGATGGTCTTGATATGAATGTCGGTCCGGCATGGCAGAAAGGATATACGGGCAAAGGCGTTGTGGTATCAATACTGGACGACGGCATACAAACAAATCATCCTGACCTTGCGCAAAATTATGTGAGTAAAATTCCATTTCATTTTAAAAACAATTTAAAAACATTAGAGAACATTAGAGAACATTAGGAGAACATTAGAACATTAGATACGAGTATCTACACTACACTTCAACGGAGATATGTTAAGTGAAATGAAATTCTGTTAAGAAGCAGTATAAGCAGTATTCATACTGGGTCACTGTTTATGCAAAGGACACTTAAGCAGGCGCTTATCCTTCTCGTTTATGAGTTGCACACTGCGACTCAGTGTTCGTTAGTTTATTTAAAAGTTTTTAATATAAATTTAAATGCAAAAACTTGCATATTTAGTAATTAATTTTCATTTAAATTAATGTCTAATCTTGCTGCTGTGCCATTAGGCACACACTTTTGCAAATGTTATTGATGCTGCTGGTGTCCTGCGATCCGTTTTCATTAAAAATTTGCATACAAATGGCTAAAGTTACACCATTTTGTTGTCCTTTACAAAATGTAACTGTGTTGGTGATTATGTGCTTATGTAAGCGAGTGTATTTGTAAATTGTGTAGTCATTTTCATTAAGTAATTTTTTCTTTGCGGTTTAGCTGCTGCCACCGCTGCCATCGCTGTCAGTGCTGCCAGTGCTGCCACTGCCGATGTTGCTACTTGGTGAGGTTGCCACTGTTGGCGCTGTTAGAAAAATTGCTTGTTTTGCTATTGCTGCTGCTGTTGCTATTGCTGCTGCTCTTACAAATTGCAGTAGCAATAGTTGCCGCCTCGGCTTATGCTCCTACTTTAAGTGTCTAATGTCTGTTGTCTGGTATCTACAAAACTTTTTGAGTTAATGTTTTGTGGTTTCTGTGTTGAATTGTCTGCAATTTTTGTAACAAATGTCTATGTGCGGTTATGTGTCTTCCCATTTCCAGTTTTACCCTCGCATGACTCTTATGTACTTTTTCTACTTGGATTAGTCGTAGTTTGAATTGTGGCAGCAGTTTTGTTACAATCAAGAGGAAAACTTTTTTAAAATATTTATATAGTTTTTGTTCTAATTGAATAAGTACGCAAATTCGAATCAAATGGAGAATTATTTGCAATTAATATTGCTACTCCTACTCCTCTTAATGTGCATTATCTGTGTGAACAATTTATTGCAATAAACTTTACTCAAATTACTTAGAAACTAAGTTATAAATAGTATTAATTTTGCTTGTATGCCTGAATACAACTTCAAAGAACTTTGAAATAAAATATATAAATCTATATCATTCGGTTTTTTATTAAAAATATTTGATTTCCAATTCTCTATTCAAACACAATAAATAAAAAAATCAATAATTTGTATATATTTTTATTCTTTAAAACCTTTAACTACTCCCACATTTACTCCTTATACCTTTTTTATCTATAAGGTTGACTACTTCAGACCATGTTTGTACTATTTATAACGAATTTATTCTATTTGTCAATACTCATACTACGTTATCGTGATTTTAACATTTACATTTATACTATATCTAAATACAAAGGGGTGCCTATTAGATCAAGCTGGTCGCAGTGCAAAAAGGCCGAAGCCTTACCTCTAAACCATTACTATTACATATATATACTGAACCTATTTACTCATTAGCCATCTTTACCTGATTTGAAAACTCCAAAAATCTCACTGCTGAATTACATTCGATTAAATCAAAAAGTAAAAGACTTATTGCCAATAAACTCAGTCAGATATATATACACAAAGATATACAAGATATTATTAGAACTGAAAAAGAAATATTGAGAGTAATTCAAGCGGCTTTGGAGGAGGTTTTCTTGTCATACCAATTTGACAACAAATTTTAAAAGATTTAACTATTTTAAAGAAATTTTTCCTACTCTGCTATATGCAAATATAGTTTACTACTTGAAATATTTAATTATAAAGAACTAAACCTTTAACATTGGTTATATTAACTAAAATTACACATAACATCTAGTATTAATTGGTATGCACAACTTTAACACTGATCACACAAAAGACGATAACGATCTTAAAGGCCCTATATTTTTAAATCTAAACTATATGGACATTTCAAGGAATACAGCAATTGTTCAAAATAACTGTCTGTTGACATCTGGCTAAGCCAGGGAGTTCAAAATTATGCAAAAATGGTCGCTTAAGGTCAGAAGATTATTATTCAATGCAAAAATATACTAAATAAGTGAACATTCGAAAAGATATGTGGTATTTTTTAATACAATTTCTACAACATCACTTTAGAATACTGATCGGGGTCACCACAGGACCGAACACAGATGTATACCAAATAGTGTCTTGGGTAGTATTAAAGTTCCAACATGTCAATCATTTCTCGAGGATGTACATTTCAAAGTAGTAATTCAAGGTTGTTCGATTAGATGTCTTAAGTATAAACAACGCTTATGCTTTCTTATGCTCTCTCTCTCTATGTCACTCTCTCTCTCTCTATGTCGCTCTCTCTCTCTCTCTCTCTCTCTATCTATCTCTCTCTCACCTCCACTTTTTCCTTCTTACTTTTTTCTCCTTTCTCACTCTCTCTCTCTTTGCCTCCTCTTCTTTCTCTTTCTCTTTCTATCTGAATCTCACTTTATCCGAACTTACTGAACTCATTGAGGAAACTAAGAGGCTCAAAACAAAGTTGCCAATTCCGTTGTATATTCTCAAATCTTTTAATGTTGAGTGAATCTTGACCTAAACTTGAGCCAAAAATTTAATTAATTATATGTGGTTATGTTTTTCACTTGTTTGGATGAAAACTCTAATACGTTAAGGTAGAAATATTTTTAGGTGAAGTAGTAGCTAAGATTACTATAGAGTCGTTAAAATATTAAATAAAATTAATTATTTTTTAATATAATCTTAACAACACTTTCATATAACTTTTTTAAAAGTTATATCAAATAATTTCGAATAGGCATAAGAATGACTAAATAAGTTATATCCCTCCAAAACCTTTCTAAGACTTCATTTGAAGCACTACAGATATTTACATTTCAGTTATTTACTCACTTTTTATTAATACTTAAGTGGACTTTTTTTTGGAATGACGTAACATTTATTCACATAGATTTATTATGTAAATTAGAAAAGTTGCCAACTTGTCATTTTTAGAAGAGCAGTTTCAACACATATTTCATTCTGAGAGTTTCTGAACTCTGAGTTAATGTAAATAATAAATTTGAATGATTTGAGCAACTTTATTGTTAATATGCAATTTAAAAGTCCATTTCTTTTAACAATAATTTTGCAAGTTTAATTTCCACTTAAAACTTTCTGCTATGACTTATGAAAGTAAAGAATAAAATATTAACATATGCAACATTTCTGTCATATGTTGAGAAATTGAATTTTGTCACGCAATTTCAAAACTTTCTCAAAAAAACTTTCAAAATATATTGAAGGAATAAGAAAGTTTTCACTTCTTCAAATAAGAAACCTACTACTATGGTATTCCTGCGGCATTCGAAGATATATTGAAGCATTCGAAATGGAAATGATACATCGATCAAGTTTATGAAACAAAGGGGAGTTCCGCTCAGAACAAACAAAATTGAAAAAAAAAATTGAAAAATATGAGTGGAAAAAAGTGAAAAGTTAAAAGTTTTCACTTTTTTTAACCCTGAAGAAAGAACAAAATTTGATTTCTTGCAAAACATTGAGAGCATTAAAAAAATATATTGGAAAAGTCAGAAGTAAAACAAAACAAAAAAAATAGAATAAAGGAAAACGTTTCCAACATGCAAATGAAACGCACAAAAGTTAATAAAAATTTAACTAAAGCCTTTTTTAAAAGTTTCTTCTTTACTTTCCTTTATTTGCTGAGATGTCGGAAAAGCAAACCTACTTGAGACTTGGTCACACTCTAGGAATTGAAGGGTTCCCTGTAAAAATGATAACTTGACAGAAAAGTTTTAATATTTCAATTTTGAATTCGGTACGCTTACGGCTAAAACAATTCTTAGAAACACAGAATTTTGATTTATCAACACAAGAGGTAAAAATAACATTGAAGCCAAAACCAAAAAAAAAAAAAAGAAACAATAAATAAATAGAAGAAAAAAAGAAAATTATGTATTAAATACAGGATAAAGTATCTCATATTGTCAACTTTACTTGCCATAAATAAAATAATTTTTTTTGTCTACATTCCACTTAAACTATAGTTTGATATTGTTTCTACATTAAAAAGATGCATGATTTATTACGCCCAATGTTGAGCTAAACAATTTTTGTACGCCCAAAACTATGCAAGAGGAATGCCAAATTTATTTTCATGCTGTGCTGCTTTTATGTGAACTGTAAGCTGTGAGCTGTGAGTTGTGAGCTATGAGCTGCCGTTATTATTGCTGTTTTTACAGTGTTTTTTTCTTTATGGTGTTCTCCACTTGACATTATAAACGTCGAAAATTGTTATTTAAAAGGTTTCTGCCCACAAGTACTATGGCGTATAGCAACGCTCCGGTCATCATTTTAAATTTCTTTTGTAGGTTCAAAATCCAACAAATTCTTGTCTTGTCCCTATTCACTCACTCACACGCACACACACAATGCAATTTGAATTAACATTTAAAATTTTTTTTATTAACATTTTTCCTTCTATTCCCGTATCTCGGAACTTTTAATACAGTTTCGCCCTAGGGAAAATATTCCAATTTTAACATAAATGTACCTAAATTTCCGATTTGTGTCAATAATTTGTTGCAAATCGTCTCTTTGGCACATGTTTTAGACAAAAGCACAAAATTACAGCAAAAATTACAAATATCACAAGAATAAGACAAACAACACAAGTAAGGAAAGTGGAATGAAGTATCAGGGGAATATTGTACATTATCCTGCGTTTAAGCATATAAGCTAAAAGTCAAGCATTGGGAAATTTTGGTGGACATGGTAGAGCGTAGTAAGGCATTGACAATAACAATGACAATGACAACATTGCGAGGACAAAGTCCAAATGCTCGAATGTCATTTCCACTCAAACTCTGCCCGAAATGAGTAAAGTTAAGTCAAAGAAATGTAG